TTGTTTTAAAAACATATGAGCTAAGCATATTTTGGGAGTAGTATTGAGCACCGATATGGGGATGCGAGTTCATAATAACTCATGTCTCCATAAATCATGTAGCCATCATGGGTAGTAAAGGATCATACTTTTTAGATTATTCTTTAAGTTCCTTTTAGCAGATACTAGTGGATCCACTTAGTTAAGGCGTTCTATATGATGGCAAAGTATAGGACAGTTCTGGCAGCGTGGGCAAGATAATGTATCACCACTTAGTCTTATAGTGGTGGTTGTCGGTTAGAGAAACTCCCACATAAACTATATTACTTTATTATATGAGTAAAGTTGAGTTTGTTATTGCATTTTCTTTAACGAACTAAGTTGTTTTCTACTGTTTTAAAAGCTTTCTATATATTGCATGTGTATTGTTGCTTTATATTGAGTTAAGTTATTCATGAGTTGAGTAAAGCCAAGGTAAGTGTTTCTTTCAGATTCCTTTCAAGCTTATGTTATGTTTAGTATTTTCCCTCGCATACTCGTACATTCAATGTACTGATACCATTTGGCCTGCATCGTTTTATGATGCAAACATAGGTAATGAGGATCAGCATCCAGGGCCCCGTTGATCCAGTTGAGCACTCAGAGTCAGTTGGTGAGCCTCCTTGCTATTCGGAGGACCCTTCTTTATCATTTGATTTAGTATTTAATTCATTAGGATGTCGTGGGTCTTGTCCCAACATCCCTCTTTGTTTTAGAGGCTTCATAGACAGTCAGACAATTAGTAGTTCAGTTGTCTTTACATTATTATTTCATATGTTAAGACTTGAGTTGCCATTTTGGCCAAGTTGAATGTTTGACCTTTAAACAGTTGAGTAGAAGTGCATTTGATCATTGTAATAATGCTTAGAGTCTTCTGCTGAGTAAGCCAAGCCAAGGGTTCGCTTGGGACCAACAATGGTTCTCGAGTGCCAGTCCCGCCCAGGGTGTAGGCTCGGGGTGTGATGCAACTTGACTTTCAATTTGAGTATTTCCTCAACCCACTATTAATTAATTATAATTAGTAGTCTAATAATAAGTTAAACACTACAATATGGCTATCACTTACCACACACAAAAAAAGATTTTATCATTGAATTAAAATAATTAAATTAAAATATAAAATAAAAATAAAAGAGATAATGTTAGTTCAGTTGAGAGTTTTGAGTAGTTTAGTGCCCCTTATTATTTCAAATTTTAATTTAAAATTATACATTGATCTACCGTATTTATTAGTTTTAATTTTGTGTAAAAAGAAAATGTATGACTAAGGTTATTTAAGTGGAGTGATAAACATGATCAACGAATATTTTATTATTATTTTTATTATATAATTTTTTTAACATAATTACTTTCTTTAATATTATCCGCGTAATGCGCGGGTACGTATACTAGTAAACTTAAAGACAAAAAGAAAATTGAACATCTGCAAAAATAATTTTTTTAAAAATAAAAAATAAAAAAAAGCAACGCATCTTGTCATACCTCACCCCGCACAGTTCCAAAATTGCTCCACCCCCGCGAAGATTTAGACTCACCCAAACCATTGTCATCCCTATATAGGAGGGCACTGTTTTGTGGCTAGCACTATATATATGGGTTCCTTTTTATTATTTTAAGGGCATTATTATTTTTATTAGAATTTGACTTTTTTTTTTTCTTTGTATGTTAGTAGTTGATATTTATCTTACATCCTTGTAAGTTGTAAAGGATGATTCTTCAAAAAAATAAGACTAATTTTGGTTCAAGTCATCGACGACCCCTTAAAGTTGTGTATATTTCATTTAGACACCTCAACAAACTTTTTTTCCTAATAGACACTCCAATCTTCAAAAATAAATATTTATCAAACATTTTTCTGACACCTAATCAAAACATTTTTCTGACACCTAATCAAAACAGAAAGTGTGTGTAATACACATACATATGAATTATGATGTGACAAAATACCAATCAAATAATGGCACGCGGCATTTCAATTAAAATAATTATAAAACAATTTTAAATATAAACACATTTAAATCTAAATTTTTTTAAAAAAATCAACTTAAAAAAGAAAAGGAAATTATACACCCACCCACCCCCACGCCCCTGCACTGCAGCCCACCCCACCCCACCTCTTCCTTTCTTCTCTTTCCCTAACACTTGCCCACCATTAGTAACTCTCAATATAGAAAAAAAAATGGAGTTTTAATATATACTTTTTCATTCCCATTTGAATTGATAGTGTTTTCTTGAAAATATGTTCTTCCTTTGTTTATTGTGATTTCAAAAAAAAAAGTGTATTTATTCGATTTCTGGGGAAGAAGGGATGTAAGTTGGGGGAGATGAAGAGAGATAAATATTTGAATAATGGTCTTCATTTTTCCGGCAAAAAAAATGTGGATGGTGATTTCTATTTTTTCCGACAATAAAAAGATATAGATGATGATCTCCATTTTCCGACAAAAAACTGTAATGTTGATCTCTAATTTTTCAGGCAAAAAAAAAAAAGGATTAATTCTACGTCTGAAAATTTAATATTACATGATAAGAAGATTGAAAAAAAAAGAAAGTAAATTTGTAAGAAAAAATGATAATATATTATTACGAAAGAAATGGTGGCAACAAATAAAGAGAAAGAGATTGTTATTTTTCTTTTTAAAAATAATGAAAAAAATTTAAAAAGAAAAGGAAAAACGTAAATATATTAATTTCTTGCGCTCAACAAGGAGTGCATTATACTTTTTGAGCCACATCTGCATTAAGGAGTCGTTTGGTAGAGTGTATACGAATAATGCAAAATATAGTGTATTAGTAATGCTTGCATTAGTAATGCTTGTATTAGTTATGCTTGCATTAGTTATGTTTGCATTAATTATGATGAGATTTTTTTTATACAATGTTAGGTTTGGTGTACTAAAAATATTATGCATTACATAATATTTTTAGAAAAAATATTTGTTTACAAAAATATCCTCCACAAGTATAGTGGAAAAGATGTAAAAAAGGTTTTTTGAGGGCAATTGTGTCTTTAATAATGTTAATGCATGCATTAGAACCCATTGCATTACTAATGCATAGAAATAGATGGTATTAGCAATACACTCTTCAATACACAATAAAATGTATTACTAATACAAGCATTAGTTATGCATAGGTTAGAAAAGTGTACCAAACAAGGTACTAATAATACATCAAGCTAATGCAAGCAATATTTTCTCCAGTACACTCTACCAAACCAGTGGCGGATCCAGGATTTCAAGGTTGTGGGTGCTCCCTTAGCTATAGTGGCGGATCGAAAATTTCGACTAAGGAGTGTCAAAATATAAAGAAGTAAAATCGTGTAGAAGCTAAGGAGTATATATATATATATATTATTTTTAATTGTTTTTACCTAACTACACGTATAATCTTCCAACAAAGAATTGTCGGTCGACACCCCTCGAGTATATTCCGTTATTGCTTAGCTATCAATCACAAATATAAGTGCTCAAGTTTAACACTTGTTATGAAAAAGGACAATCATATTTAAGCACAATAATAAAAAAAATTAAAGAAGAAAAATTACAATAAAAATTATCTTGGATAAAAAAAATTGATAAAAAAAGTTAGAAAAGGCCACTAGCGAAAGAGAAAAAGCAACAATCTGCATGGGAGAAAAAAAAAAATGAAGTCCAATTAGAATAAATAAGTAAGAGAAGAGCTTATTTTTAAACTAAAAATAATATCTTTGGAGGGAATCGAACCTCTGGCAAAGAAATAAAAAGAATGAAAGACCTTGAGCACCCACAATAAACCACCACGCCAATTAAATCATTGTTCCTATGGGTGCTCTCTAATAAAATATATACAATTCTTCTTTCTTTCTATGTAAATATATATAATTCGATACGAGATTAATGGGTGCTCGAGCACCCATGTAGGACCATGTAGGTCCGCCCCTGTACCAAACGACCCCTAAGTGTCTAAATGGTTCAAATTCAAGAGAATATAAGCGTTCAATAGGTATAAGTCCTTGTTCAGGTGTGTAGGTGAATTATGCGGATAATTTTAAGGGACCGAAGATGACTATAGCCATTAATTTTTAACTCAATATTTTTTGTTTCTTATTTATTTAATCGAAGAATATAATTAATTTTATATTAATTATTATCTCTAATTATTCAATTATCAATCTACTGATTAGTTTTAATCTACTAAGTTTTATCTACGGTAGTCAATGAAGGTTTTAGCAATATCTCCAAAGTTCTTGAATTTGCTTCTTAAAATTGTGCGTCTATATATCTTTATTTTTTACACATATGTTTTCGCATCTTAAATTTCATGAAACTAACTTAATTCTTATCAAGTGATATTACAAAACTACCTATGTGTTATCACTATCATCGGTAAAATAATCATAAACTTGTAACTAGTACTACTATTAGAAGCTTTTTGCTTTTTGATAGAACTACACGAACACTCAAAAGTAAAAAAATCAATACAAATACTTTGAAGTAAAAGAGATATTAAATGCATTTAAATTGTAAATATATGTTTTGAAATCTATTTTTAAATTTTTTTTTGAGATACAAAGTTATTAATAATTTATTATAATTGATTTTTTTTAAAAAAAATTCAATTGATAATACAGCTAATTAGTAGAATTTCTCTTGAAACAAGTAGATCTTACTTGCATAAAATTTTCTTAATTTTGAAAGAAGTATTCTATGAAAAAAATACTTGTACAGACAACTATTATAGAACAATTAATAGTATTCAATGAAAAAAATACATAAAATTATCCACAAACTTGACAATCAAATTTTGTTTTAACACTTTAACTTTATGAATATTTAAATACCCCTATTCTAATTTGTATTAAGAAACATTCATTTGAGGAAGTTATTAAGACATAAAAGTCTAAAAATTTGAATACAAAATGAAACAAGATGATTGCTAACATGAGAAATGTAAGAACACACACTAACTTTTGATGATAGAAATATCCTAAATCATATCTCTCAACATATTGGTAACTTTGCAAGTAACATTTCCCAGCCATGGTCTAGAAAACGAAAATAAGCATGTCTCCATGATCTCTTGAAAAGCAATGAACCACAAACACCCCAAAAGCTTAGTGCAAATCCTATAGCCATTGAAATGTAAAACCAATCCACTTCATCTTCGTCACTCTCATCATCTTCATATTCATGATTTGGAATATTACCATTTGAACTACAATTCAGCGAGAGTGGAAGCCCGCAGAGTTTGTTTCCTTGAAAACTCGTGGGATCAAAGCTTTGAAGTTGAGTGCTCAATGGTATCATACCTGACAAATTGTTATCAGATAGATTCAAGTAGCTCAAGGTGGACAAACTTGAAAAGCTTTGTGGGATTTGACCATAAAATTGATTTTCTGAAAGATCAATAGATTCCAAGACTTTCATGTCACCAATGTCATTTGGAATTCTACCAGTTAGGTTATTTTTAGAAAAATTAAATGATCTCAATCCTGCAAGATGTGTTAAACTTATAGGAATATCCCCAGAAAGATTATTGCTAGACATGTCCATACTTGTAAACAACGCCAAAATGCTGTCATACTGGTACCTGTTGCCTTTATTCGTCACTATGGCACTCTCTCTCAAAACTCCAAAAAAGTAGGAATAATTTAACTCATCATCATCTCCCACTTCCTTTTTTCCTTTGACCATTGCACTGAAATTGCCAATACACCTTGGTATGATTCCAACAAATGTATTGTTTGCAAGGTCTAAGATCTGAAGATCTTTGAGTTGACAAAGTTCTTGAGGCAATTCACCATTGAATTTATTGGACCGAAGGATAAATACTATCAAGGTTGAAAACCTCATTCCCAACCAAGATGGTAGTCCCCCAACAAACTCATTCTCGGCTAAATCTATTTTATGCAGTTTCGTACAATTTTTCAAGGATGAAGGAAACGGACCGTTAAGTTTATTTCTTCGTAAGTCCAAGGATAGCAAACTATTCAAAGCCTCCATGGATCTTGGTATGCCTCCAATCAAATTATTCTCCCTCAAGGTTAAAACTTTCAACTTTGACCAATTCATCCAACAATTAGGAATTTCTTCTGATAAATTGTTTCTGCCTAGGTTTAAGATCTCCAAATTGTAAGATACATTCTTTGCTTCACACAAGAAGTTGGATAAACCTTTTGAAAACAAATTATTCGAGAGATCTAACTCAGTTATACTCGTTGAAATACGTGGTAGTGATCCACTAAAATTGTTGGAACCTAAATACATTAACCAAAGACCTCCCAATCCAACTAACCATGAAGCTGTTGAGATGATTGGAACCTCACCAATAAATTGATTGTGAGAAAGATTGAGAAAAACAATTTGAGAAGATAAGTTCCAAAACCAAGTTGGAACCTCACCTTGTATTCCACCATATGATATGTCAACATTCATTATCATCTCCTGAGTTCGGAGCCACATTGGAAACAAAGGGCCTATATTCCACCCGCCTAATGCAATGTTTGTGGCTTGAAACGGTGGAATCCAATTCCGATTCACTTTTAAAGTCAGATTATTTCTAGATGTAGAGAAGAGTTGTAATTGTGTTAATTTAGAGAAATGACTTTCTGTTACAAATGAAAAAGTATTCTAGCATTGAAAGTTGGCCAATACTTTTTGGAAGAGTTCCAGTGAGTTTATTACCATCTAGTCTCAATTCCATCAAAGAAGAAGTATTTCCCAATCCCCTTGAAAAGAAATTACTCCTACCTTTGAATAATTCAGATACTTGTCCCTCAAATTGATTTTTTGAAAGAGAAAGAAATTCTAATTTCCCTAAAATTCCAATTACATTTGGTAACTTTCCAGTAAGCATATTACCAGAAAGGTCATTATTAGTTATTGAGCTCAAATTTGAAATCAGACTTGAAACTGCTCCCTCAAGACGGTTGTAACTAAGGTAAAGTGATTCCAGATCTTTGCATCGATAGAGCCAATTTGGTATGGTGGAGTTAAGGTTATTATCAGAAAGATCAAGATATTTAAGTGTTGTTATGTTTCCACCCTTATTTGGTATTGCACCTTTAATACCACTAGAACGGAGGTTAAGATGTTCTAGATTACTTATATCAAACAACCATTCGGGTAAAAGACAATTGAAAGAGTTTTCAAAAGCCTTGAAGGTTGTGAGAGAAGTCAAGTTAACTTGAAAGTCAGGAAATGGGCCAGTAAAATTACAATCACTCAAATTAAGAGAAACAAGATTGGAAAGGTTGAAAACCCAATTGGGAATAGGTGAATTAAACTTAGTACTAGAAAGATCGAGGGTTTCAAGTGAAGAAAAATTGTGATGAAGTAGATTTGTTATATTATGAAGACTACAATTGGATAACGTTAGATCAACCAAAGAAGGAAGCATGTTAATAACCTGTAGCCAGTTAGTTGCTTCGTGGAGATCCACATGATACATTTCCAGGTTCTCAAGACTCAAAAGACTTGGCAACCACTCTAGGTTATCGATCCTTAGATAACTTATGTGTAGTTCAACTCCTTCCCATTCACAACAATCTTTTCCGACAACCCAAGAAGAGGGAATATCCAAGGGATCATCTACTTCTTTCTTCAAGCTCTCCAACGCTCGTTGCTCATTTTCTCTACAAATCCCTACACAAACAACAAACTTGGTATTTGTCAAAATAAAAAACAAGAGAACCCATTGTGTTATTGCTAACACTTTCATGGTGTGTAATATTTTGGACTGAATAGTATGTGTGGCAAGTATAGTTTCTTGCTATACGTATATATAGCTATTAATAACACATTCTAATCATATATGGTATAGTATAATTGAAAATTAATGTGTAGTTTTAGTAAGATGATGCATGTAAATGTGGACTGCTTGACTTTAAAGTGTTCTTTTTTTTGTATATATCAATTAAGTCAACAAGACTTCTCTACAACTTTATCATGTCCACCATGCCCATAATGATAAAGTTTGTCTTGTTGATAAAAGAGGACTTTTCTTAACGTTTTTACATTGGAAGAAAAAAGGACTTTTCTTAACGTTTTGTGAACTTAGATTAAAAATGTGTCTTTAAATTTGTAATGTAAAACATTGAGATAGAAAAACTTACTAAATATAAAATAAAGAAAGACGCTATTTTTATAACAAATTAAAAAAACACACGCTTAAACTAAAACAAAGAAAATATAATAATTAAATTTAAAATCAAATATTTAATAAATTTATTATAATAAATATAGACGACGATCTGAAGTGAACCACTAAAACTTAAGCTAGCTCCACCACTTTGATAAAGTTGAAGATTTTAAAGAGTTCTCTGTTTTCTTTAACTAAGGGCCCGTTTGGCCATGCGATATGAAAATATGATTTGAAATCATGAGATTAAGTAGAAGTTTTGTTTGGACATGCAATTTGAACTATTTATAGTGTATGTTTTCTCATAAACATAAAAAAAACTCATAAGTTGTGAAATTATTAAAATTGTCCCAATTCTTTATACAATTTTATCAAATAAACAAAAGTTTATAAAATCGCATAATACATTATCCAAAACTATTCTACAAAACAACATTTATTGATCAAATTTTAATTAAATAAAAAAAATTAAACATAAGTTGTAGTCTTTAAATAAATTTGATAAAATATAATGAATTTGGTGAATATAAATAGTATAGTAGGAATTGATTTGAAGTAATAATAAATTTTAGGTTGGTGAGAATAATCATTACATGAGATATAAATGGTTTAAAAAGTAACTATAAGAATTATAAATTTTATTTACATATAAAGTAAATGGTTAGTAGATATAAATGTGAGATTTTTACACAAATACTTGAGAGTCAATTTTTGTATTTGAAAAATCTCAAATCATGATTTTTGGAGAATTTGAGATTTCATCTCATAATATAAAATTATGAGATGAAATCAATGTAAAATCACATGTCTAAATATTAATTTCTTCTCATAATTTCATATCATGAGATGAAATTGCATGGTCAAATGACTACTAATTAAACAAGTGTCCCTGTTTGGGCCATGCATGTCCACCATGCCCACATTGATGAAATCGTCTAGTTGATAAAAGAGGACTTTTCTTAACGTTTTCACATTAGAAGGAAAAGAAAAAAAGAAGGGTTAATAATAGTTATTATATTTATTTATTTTAAATCTTATCCTCATCTCTCAACAAAGCTAGCTACTCTTATTGGTATCTGAATAATCATAACATCATCAACTAATAATCATGTATTTGAACTCAGGATTTAATCAATAATATTATTTATTTTCAAGAACAATTAAATAAGGGGAAATAATTACCTTATAAAATGACAACTGTTTTGAAATAAATTAAATAAGTATTTTAAATAATATTGACAACTAATATATGATTGAGAGAGTTGATTCCATAAAATCAGAGGTTCAATACAGGTGGCAATGTGGAAAATCCAATATCACAAGAGAGCTTCAATAGGGTGTAGGCAACTTCCAAATAAGAAACAGATCCAAAGTCTGATGGTAGAGATTTTCTTGATCTTCGAGCTCTTGGTGGTATGACTCAAAAGACTATCCATCTCTTGTCTGCTATTCATTGGGCAGAATAGATTTATGATTGCTTTCATAAATAATTTTAGTTTTAGAAATTCAAATTTTCAAATGGAGCTTAAGTGAGCTTTGGCTTTCGATAAGGAAAATTAATTTGATACGGAAATTTAATAAAGAAGGAAAGGATATTTCAATGCATGATTTTAAACCTATAATGATATTTTTGTGGAGAAAAGACCCAAAAATAGATCATTCTTATTCCTTTTTCACGTGGAACACTCATATAATTGTCCCTCTTGTTTGTAATATTGATGCACTTTTGGTCCTCTTAAACTTTCGTCTATTTTTAACATTAGTTTTGTCCACAATTTAGAGTATGGAATGTTTGGTGTTCTTCCTCTATATTTAGTAGAAACAAGAACTCTATGAGGGAAGATGAGAAGAAGAGTGTTCTATTAAGAAAACTGAATTTAGCTGCGAACTTCGTCACTAATTCACTTGTAGCTAGGGGTGTACATGTCCGGGTTGGTTCGGGATTTTCAATTATCAAACCAAACCATTTGTGTAAAAAAATTTAATTTATAAACCAAACCAAACTAATAAAATTCAGATTTTTTCAACCTCGGGTTGGTTTGGGTTTTTCAAATACCAAACCAAACCATTGTGTCAAATTTTTAAATTTATAAATCAAACCAAACTAATAAACCTTGGATTTTTTCAGATTTTTGGATTTTTCGGTAAAGTTTGCATACAAACATATAATTAACTTGTGCTCCAAATATTTCTTTAGTCCATCCAAAATACAATTATCTAAGGTGTTTCTTAAGAAAATAACACAAAATATGAGATGAGTACTGATGACACTAAAATATTCAATAAAAAATAATAATGAAATCATCATATAAAATAAATATTGCAAAGTCATAATGAAAATGATCATAATTTAAAAGTACTAACTCATGCTAATAAGTATTAGTTACATTACTAAATATTTAAGGAAAATTAAAATTAGATTATGTATTTTAATTGTCTAAACCAATGTAAAACTAAAGAACAGATATTCAATATATTGTCATTCTTAGTGTTGAATTGATTTTCTTTTTGCATTAGTATTAATTTGATTTTGATTTAAGTTTTATTATAATTATCAACATCTATGAACTATAATCTTTATTGGACCATTCCAAATTCTAAGTTTTAAACTTGAAATAATATATTAAAAGATAAAAACTATGAAATAGTATAAGAAATATTTTAAAATTATATCAAAGTAAATATTTTTATGTATAAAATAAAATTTTAAAATTACATATATAATGTCGGGTTGGTTTGGTCTTGGGTTGGTTTTTTTTAGTTAAAACCAAACCAACCCAAATATAGTCGGATTTTTTTTCCAATACCAAACCACTAGTAGGGTTTTTTTTCCGATTTGACTCGGTTTGCGATTTGGTTCAGTTTTCGGTTCGATTTTGTACACCCCTACTTGTAGCTAACATAAATTGATCGTTGAGTAAGAGTAACGATAAATTTTGTTGTTTAGCTATAAAATTTGTCTGTGGCTAAATCCAATATATCTTTTTTAGTCCAAACATCATTGTAGCTAATCAAATCAAGAATCTACCTTTATTTGTACTGTTGCACATGAAATCTTACATAACGAGCCTTTCGATCTCAAAAAGTAAAGCCAAGTTTGAGGGCAGACCAAAACTGCACCAATACTATAAATATGAAGGATTATTAGTGCTCCACGTGAAAAAGTAAAGATAACATTGAGTCTGAACACAAAGATAAGAGACAATTTTATTTTTTTTCTCTATTTTTGTGCCTATAAATTTTGTCATAAAATATTTTTTAATGATAATTTCCTTTTGACTTTTCTTATTTTGCTCATGAGCCAATTCCACAAAATTTTGGTATTATGAAAAAAGAATGCTCTTTATGAAATATTTGTGGTACAATTTTCTATTATCATTGAATAATATTTTTGCTATATGTACATGATGAATAGGGTTGTGATGCATCAATTCTATTGGATGGACTCACCAGTGAGAAAAAAGCAGTCCCAAATTCAAGTGTTAGGGGATATGAACTCATTGATGCTATTAAAGAAGCTTTAGAAGCAGAATGTCAAGGCCTAGTTTCTTGTGCTGACATTATTTCTATGGCAACTAGAGATGCTGTTGTCTTGGTAAATTTTACATTTTATTTCATCATTATTACTTCCATATATCATTTGAGATTTTCTATTTTACGACTATAATTAAGTCCTTTGATTAAGTCCTATAATTAAGGTCTTCTCACTTCTCAACCTAGATCAAAGACCTTTGATTAAGTTCTATAATTAAGTCCTTTGATCGATATGATGTGAGGCTGATTCAAACGTCTCATTTAATTTCTTAAACTCCATGCCTAGTCAAACTAAAAAGTAATGTTTTTTTTTTTCATGACTTATTTGATTGGCCTTGGAGTTGAGAAAAAACTAAAGATTCCTGAAACTCATGGTCTTAAAAATATGCTATAATATTTGTGTGACTATAATATGATGAGACGTTTAAATTATATTATTTGTGACATATACATGCATCCTAATTTGTGTTGGTTTTGATTATAAAATGTCAAAGGCTGGAGGAAAATGGTATGATGTAGAAACAGGACGAAGGGATGGAGATGTTTCCTTAGCTTCAAATGTGAATCTTCCTGCTGCTACACATCAAACTCTTTGCAAGCAAAAATCTTACTCAATATGACATGGTTTATCTTCTAGGTAATTTCACATTTTTACAATCCTTCATTTTATTGGGATGATGTCTAGTAGCATGTGTGCAACTCGACTATTTTATCATGTACATACTATCTCCCACCAGGGTGAATATACCGAGTAACTCTATTCATTGAATTTGAGATGGATCAAATTAGAAAATGTAATGACCCTCCAGGTCATTTTTAAATTAAAGAATTCTTTCCCTCGTATAGAGCATTCCTGTAGCGACCCCAAGTCATTTATGACTTGCTGGCACTGACTGTTCGGTCGCCTGGTCGTTCGTTTGGGTTTTAGGCTCGTTTCCCTGTTTTGGAGATTTTTATAACTTGAAAAGTTGACTTTGGTCGACCTTCTTGGAAGACGTGCTCAGATGAAAATTCTGACAGCTAGGTTAGCTTCGGAAGATCGATTTTGGTCTAGAACGACCCTTTGTTCACTTCCCGAGACTTTAGATAGCAGTTGTGGAATCTGGCTCAAAACGATACTGGGTGTGGGACCCACTTTTCATCGAAGCTAGCTCCAAATGGAAATTCCGCCTTCACCGTTGAGTCCGAAATATCATTTCCAATCAGATTCCATATAAGGTTTGTATTTTTCCAACTCCGAACGAGTCCGAAATATCGAAATTTAAGTTTGAAGGGTTGTAGAATTTTGACGCGGCGGTGACGTGGCAGAGGAGTGGGAATCTGGAAATTTCCAGAATTTAGGACGAATTTCGTCCATTTTTTTTCCTCAACTTCAACTTAAGATTGCTCCTTCATTTTGAGTCCAAATTAAGTGATTCAAAAGGCAAACTTCAAGAGAATTTCGAGGGGAATCTAGCGGTGATCTCAGAAACGCGAGGGGAGGCTTCATTTGAGGTAAGAAATCAATTTTTAGCCACTGCCAGGGTGATTTCCGGATTGTTTTGTTGTTGAATTTTGAAATGTGAGATCTTGATCATCGTAAGTCCGTTTTGAGTAATTCTTGAGGCTAACTTGTAGAGTTTTTCGCAAGGATCGTCGTGGTATAATCTGTTTGGGTTGAAAGGGTCTCGTTTTTCTGGAAATTGGTGATCTAGGGGCTGCTACTTTTAATTGTTGTGGCTGATTTGCGGTGTTTTAAGCATCTGTTTGTGCTAAATTTTGGAGTAGTAGTTTAGTAAGGTATTTGGGACGTTTCCACGGATTCGATTTCGAGATTCTAATTGTGGGCCCCACAATTCGGACGTCGTGGTATAATATGTTTTGGGTGCTTCCGCTTGTTTATATTATTATTATTTGCCTACTCTTGGTTAATTTCTACCCTCAGACCCATTACTTGTTGTTCCGGGTTACGGGTTGGCTTACCTGCTAGTGGGTTATAGTAGGTGCCATCATGACTTGATAAATCGGGTCGTGACAGAAAATACCTAACACTTTTTTACTTTTACTAAGATTTGAAAAGTGGTGGATTTATGGTTCACATTTCATTATGTTGCCCATATTAGGGCACACCCTTGGATGCTTTCCTTTTTAATGTATCGTTTTTATTTGTCAACCTTTATCTTATCCTACATATTCTTTTTATGACAAAGGTACTCAAACTAGCTTGCGAGTTGCATCCACCTAGAATATATGCTGTACTATTTTACTAAAAATCCAAAGGTAGAGCCATGTGATTTTAAATTTAAGGGTTTTAAGCCATAATCCTCTGTGGCTCCTTGATCATGTTCACACACTAACATCCTGGCCTCTAGAGCATCAATAGTAGTGCTAAGTGGTCTCATAGCATTGTCGAGGGTAACCTGAATCATGCCTGGATTCGAGCTTTCTATATTGGCAGTCCGACAATTAGCAGTTTGGGCAAGCTGTCCCATTCAGATCAAGGATGCCTGAGTGATCGGTTCACGGGGGGGAAACAACAGTTGTAGATCTGGGTGGTAATGAAGCAACAGAGGGACCTGTAGAGTCAGAGGGAGTGGTAATGATATCAGATATACCTGAAGGCCCAAGGGCCGGAGTAGGAAAAGATGCCTCTGCAGGTATAGATCTAGTGGCCACAACTTCCTTCTGTTTCTTTTCTGCTTGGTCCTTAAGATATTCAACTTCGATCTTTTGGATACTGGTGGAGGCGGTGGCAGCCAATTCCACGTCCTTCATTGCATCTCTAGGTACTCTAGCTCTTTTGCATAATTCAGTGATTAATACCGGGAAAGGGAGAGATAGTTTGTCACACCCCGAGCCTACACCCTGGGCGGGACCGGTACTCGAAGACCACTACTGGCCCCAAGCGAACCCTTAGCCTGGCTTTCTTAACTCAGCGGAAACCTAACTCAACAGAATAACTTAATGCAATGAAATGTTATAAAACAACCTAACTGATGCATAACATGACAAATGGCAACTCGTGCCTCAAAATAGAATATTTACATATATACATAGATGAGAGACTCAATACTAACTGACTGACTGACTGTCTATGAAGCCTCTATAACAATGAGATGGATATTGGTGTCACGACCCGATTTCTCAAGTCATGATGGCACATACTATAACCCACCAGCAGGTAAGCCAACCCGTAACCCGGAACAACAAGTAATGGGTCTAAGGGTAGAAATTAAACAAGAGTAGGAAAATAACAATATAAACAGGCGGAAGCAACCCAAAACATATATACAAATAAAGATCCCTCCCAGAACCTGGAAGTCACCAGTACAGAGCTACGACAAAATGAGCACAAGTCCCAAAACTGGACAACAGAGACTGGACTGTCTCAAAAGGAAGAAGACAAGTCTATATATACAGATGGAGACTGAAATAGTACAAAACGCCGTGTGCACACCCCCGTCTCCAGATAAGTCTACTCCCAGCTCGATCAACGCTGGCTACTAGTGCTCGGACCTGCATCACAAAATAGATGCAGAGCGTAGCATGAGTACCAAAACAACAGGTACCCAGTAGGCATCATAGGCCGACTGAGCAAGATAAGCAAAAGTGAACTGAAATGCAAATAAAGGGTCACATCAAGTGCAAAGAGTAGTAAATGGGGGGTATGTACACGAGCGTACAGGCAACAAAGACAAGTAATCTAACTAACTCCGCCGGGCTCCCATAAACCCGACGGGTACGCTCGTGCACAATAAAAGAAACCACCTGCACGGACCCCCATAAGCCCGGCAGATGCATCGGCAGTTAAAGTAAAATAATGGAGCTAGAAGGTCTATCACAATATTACCAATTTCCGGACTTTTAACTGAACCATTCCCAATCATATTCCAGGATCTCATTACGTCCTGGACTTTAATCGAAATCTCTCCAACCTCCAAAACCTCAACCTACAGATGAGAGTAATCAAGACTAAACTGAAGCTTTAGTGAGGAATTGGGAATACACCACGTGCAAGCTGGACCACGGACTCGAACCGGGTACTGTAGCCAAAACCAGATCACAGGTAAGCTGGACCACAGACTCTAACCGGGTACTGTAGCTAAGCCTGAACATAAGTAAGCTGGACCACGGACTCTAACCGGGTACTGTAGCTAATAGAAAAGCAGGGCATTATGGATACAAGGTCATAAGCTGAGTTACCGACTATCAGACTCAAGTCTGCTATATCAGTCTACAAGGAGCTGACCGTCCGAAACGACGTCGGAAAAAGTTCTACTACCCAACGACATCCGAAATCTCGCAAGTCTATGGCAACACTAGTCTAAGCCTAGACTAAGGCCAAACATACTTCAAATCAATATTATCATATACACCACAAGATATGGATATTCAATAACATCAAGAGACATGCTGTCATAATCCAACACTTTCCCGAAATAAGGTCTAAGGCAGGAATTATAGAAATTTAGCATGCTCGACACCCGAACCCCTCCATACTCAAGCAAATCAATAAACAATTGTCTAAACATGCTCAATCTCACGAGAGAAAGCCATAGCCTACCTGAAAGCTGATCACGCGTGCTCCAACTCACGGTACCGGATCTTTTCCTCTCCGAACGGTCTCCAAATGCTTCCCCACTAACAAAAGGTTAATCACCTCGTCATTACGAATATATTGACACTAAAATTATATTTTTCGGAGACGGACCAAAAATCGGGTCTAAAACGGGATTGTGGGGCCCACAATTAGAATCTCAAAATCGAATCCGTGGAAACGTCCCAAATACCTTACTAAACTAATACCCCAAAATTTTAGCACAAACCGATGCTTAAAACACCGCAAATCAGCCACAACAATTAAAATGGGCAGCCCCTTGATCACCAATTTCTGGAAAAACGAGACCCTTCCAACCCAAACAGATTATACCACGACGATCCTTGCGAAAAACTCTACAAGTTAGCCTCAAGAATGACTCAAAACGGACCTAAGATGATCAAGATCTCACATTTCAAAATTCAACAACATTTCAATCCGAACATCACTCTAGCAGTGGCTAAAATCGATTCCTTACCTCAAACGAAGCCTCCTCTCGCGTTTCTGAGATCACCGCTAGATTCCCCTCGAAATTCTCTTGAAGTTTGCCTTTTGAAGCACCTAATTTGGACTCAAAATGAAGGAGCAATCTTAAGTTGAAGTTGAAGGAAAAAAATGGACGAAATTCGTCCTAAATTCTGGAAATTTCCAGATTTCACTCCTCTGCCACGTGTCGTCACGTGGCTCTGCCACGTCACCGCCGCGTCAAAATTCTACAACCCTTCAAACTTAAGTTTCGATGTTTCGGACTCGTTCGGAGTCGGAAAAATACAAACCTTATATGGAATCAGATTGGAAATGATATTTAGGACTCAACGGTGAAGGCGAAATTTCCAGTTGGAGCTCGCTTCGATGAAAAGTGGGTCCCACACCTAGTATCATTTTGAACCAGATTCCACAATTGCCCTCTAAAGCCTCGGGAAGTGAACAAAGGGTCGTTCTAGACCAAAATCGATCTTCCGAAGCTAACCTAGCTGTCAAAATTTTCATCTGAGCACGTCTTCCAAAAAGGTTGACCAAAGTCAACTTTTAAAGTTATAAAAAAACTCTAAAACAGGAAAACGGGCCTAAAACCCAAACGAACGACCAGGCGACCGAACAGTCAGTGCCAGCAAGTCATAAATGACTTGGGGTCGCTACAGAAACGCTCTAAACGATGAAATGAATTCTTTAATTTAAAAAAATGACCTGGAGGGTCATTACAATATCCACTACTAAAAGAACTTTCGTCCGCGAAAGTAAGAATCAAGAAGTACCTAAATGCTCAAATAAGTCGGGGAACTGTGCCCGCATCTCATGCTCGATCTCCCAGGTAGCCTCCTCAACTGGACGATGTCTCCAACGACCTTAAAACAGGAATGACTCTCGAGCGCAATCTCCTCACATCTCTGGCTAGAATGACAACTGGCTCCTCTACAAATGTCAAACGATCATCCAACTCGACTGCATCATACTGGAGCACATGAGACTCATCAGGAACATACCGCCGCAACATCGAGACATGAAAACCAGGTGGATGGCTGAAAATGCTGGAGGTAGGGCCAACTCATAAGCAACCTCCCCAACTGTCCGGAGTATCTCAAATGGCCCAATGTACTTGGGGCTAAGCTTGCCCCGCCTCCCAAACCTCATCACGCCCTTCATGGGCGACACACGGAGGAATACCCGATCACCAACAGAGAATCTCAAAGGCCGGCGCCTCCGATCCGCATAACTCTGGTGCCTACTCTGAGCCGTCCTGAGCCTATCCTGAATCACCCTCACCTGATCCAGGGCCTCTTGAAGCAAATCTGTACCACGCGGCCTAGGCTCTGTGGACTCAAACCAACCAACTGGAGAGCGACAACGCCTACCATATAATGCCTCGAATGGGGCCATCTGAATACTAGAGTGGTAGCTGTTGTTATACGCAAACTCTGCCAAAGGCAAGAACTGGTCCCACTGACCTCCAAAATCCATAACACAAGCTCGCAACATGTCCTCAAGAACCTGAATCGTGTGCTCCGACTGACCATCAGTCTGCGGGTGGAAAGCTGTGCTAAGGTCAACACGGGTACCCAACTCATCCTGGAAGGTCCTCCAGAAGCTAGATGTGAACTGTGGGCCCCGATCTGAGATGATGGAAACAGGCACACCATGAAGACGAACCACCTCTCGAATGTAGATACGGGCTAACCTCTCAGCACTGTAGGAAGTATGGACAGGAATGAAGTGTGCTGACTTAGTCAACTGATCCACGATGACCCAAATGCTGTCAACACCTCTAGAAGTCCGAGGTAACCCACAACGAAGTCCATAGTGATACGCTCCCACTTCCACTCCGGAATGGGTAATCTCTGGAACTCGCCACCAGGCCTCAAATGCTCGGCCTTTACCTGCTGGCAGCACAAGCAACGGGAAACAAAGTCAGCAATATCTCTCCTCATGCCACTCCACCAGTAATGCTGCCTCAATCACGATACATCTTCGCTGTGCCCGGATGGATAGAGTATCTAGACTCATGGCCCTCAGAAAGTATCAACTGTATCAAATCCCCAACTCTCGGAACACAGATGCGGCCGGCGAATCTCAACACTCCATCAGGATCTAAGGTAGCCTGACCACCATCACCCGCTAACACTCGATCTCTAAGGGCCACCAAGGCCTCATCCTCAAACTGACAACCACGGATCCTGTCAAGCAAGGAAGACTGAACTCCCATATGGGCCAAGACACGTCTAGAATCTGAGATATCCAACCGAATCATGTATTGGCTAAGAACTGAATGTCCATAGCCAAGGGTCGCTCCTCAACAGATAAGAAGGATAGACTACCCATACTCACTGCCTTTCGGCTCAAGGCGTCCGCTACCACATTCGCCTTGCCCGGATGATAGAGAATAGATAGGTCATAGTCCTTCAGGAGCTCAATCCAACGACGCTGCCTCGAATTAAGGTCCCTCTGGCTCATGATGTACTGAAGACTCCTGTGATCGGTATAGATCTCACATCGAACTCCATACAAGTAGTGCCTCCAAATCTTAAGTGCGAAAACTACCGCCGCCAACTCTAAGTCATGGGTGGGGTAGTTGCGCTCATGAATCTTAAGCTGCCTCGACGCATAAGCAATAACCCGGCCCTGCTGCATCAATACACAACCCAAACCAACGCCGGATGCGTCACAATATACCGTGAAGCCCTCGCCCTCAACTGGAAGAGTCAATATAGGAGCGGTGGTCAATAACTCCTTGAGCCTCAAAAAGCTCGCCTCACACTCCTCTGACCAAACAAAGGGAACATCCTGGCGAGTCAACCGAGTCAAAGGCGCTGCTATAGTAGAAAATCCCTCAACAAAACGCCTATAGTAGCCTGCCAATCCGACGAAGCTACGAATCTCAGTCACAGAGGTGGGCCTGTGCCAATCACGAATAGCCTCAATCTTCGCCGGATCAACCCTAATACCCTCCTTGGACACCACGTGCCCCAAGAAGGCTACAGACTCAAGCCAAAACTCGCACTTTGAGAATTTGGCATAAAGCCGCTGATCTCTCAAAGTCTGGAGCACTATCCTCAAATGCTGCTCATGCTCACTCCGGCTCCGCGAGTATACCAGTATGTCATCAATGAAGACAATGACAAATAAATCAAGGTATGGCCTGAACACACGTGTCATCAAGTCCATGAAGGCGGCAGGGGCATTAGTCAACCCAAACGACATCACCAAGAACTCATAATGGCCATAACGAGTCCTAAATGCGGTCTTAGGGACGTCCGCTGCCCTAATCCTCAACTGGTGGTAGCCGGATCTTAAATCAATCTTAGAAAATACCACGGCACCCTGAAGCTGATCAAACAAATCATCAATACGAGGCATGGGGTAACGGTTCTTCACCGTCACCTTGTTCAGCTGCCTGTAGTCAATACACAATCGCATAGTACCGTCCTTCTTCTTCACGAAGAGGACTGGGGCACCCCAAGGGATACACTAGGCCGAATGAATCCCTTACCCAAGAGATCCTGAAGCTGAACACTGAGCTCCTTGAGCTCTGCAGGAGCCATCCGATATGGCGGAATAGAAATAGGCCGAGTACCTGGCTCAAGCTCAATCGGAAAATCAACATCACGCTCTGGGGGTAGGCCAGGTAGATCAGTAGGAAACACATCTATGAAGTCACGAACAACAGGAACTGACTCAACCGGAGAACCTCCCTACTCACATCACGTACATAGGCCAAATATGATAAGCATCCGCTAGCCACTAGCCTCCTAGCACGAATAAAAGAGATAACCCCAACTGGTGTGCTACCACGAGATCCCTGCCACACCACCGGAGGAATACCGGGAATGGCTAAGGTAACGGTCTTAGAAAAGCAATCTAAAACAGCGCGATAAGGGGATAACCAATCCATGCCCAGAATCACATCAAAATCAACCATGTCAAGCAATATAAGGTCAGCCCGGGTGTCACGCCCCTGGATAGTAACTAAGCAAGATCGAAATACCTGATCCACTACTAAAGACTCACCCACGGGGGTCGACACACGCAACGGCGCTACCAGAGGCTCAGACATCATACTCAATCGAGAGGCATAGTAAACAGAAACATACGAAAAAGTAGAGCCTGGATCAAATAAAGCCAAGGCGGGCTGCTGGCATAATAACACTGTACCTGTGATCACATCGTCCGAGGTCTCAGCATCTGCTCTAGCTGGAGCTGCATAAAAGTGGGCCTGGACTCCCCTACCCTGTGCATCGGCTCTGCCCCCTAATCTGCCTCCTCGGGGACCACCCCGTATACCCTGGTGACCACCCCTACGGTCCTGTCCCTGGCCTCTGCCTCTAGCTGGAGGTGCTGGCGTATGCCTAACTGCCTGTGGAGCGGGTAAGGCTAACCTGCGATGGGGACACTCGCGGGCCCAATGATCTAACTCCCCACACTCATAACACCCCTGGGACTGTCGACTGAGAGCTGGAGGTCGGCTACCCCGGCCAGAAGAACCCATCTGTGAACTATCTCGGCCCCGACTAGGACCGGCACTAAAACCAATATGGCGGTGCTGATCACCCTCCGATGCCTGGAGAGAAGCCTGGAAGGGGCTACTAGACTGACCCTGACTGAAACCTCTGCTGAGATCTATCATAAGACTCTCGGGGTCTGAAACGCGCCTATCATGGCTATCCTCCTGTCTAGCTCTCTTGCCGCTGCCCCCTTGGGCCTCGCGACGGAGCTGCTCGATAGTGCGGGCATGGTCCACTACATCCAGAAATGAGCGGCCCGCTGAGACTAAAGACTGAGTCTCAATCCGCAACTGTAGTCTCAAACCCCGAACAAAACAACGAACCCTCTCCTCCTCAGTAGGTAATATCATGGCGGCATGCCTGGAGAGCTCGTGGAATCGGGCCTCATACTCTGATACTGTCATGGAGCCCTGCTCTAACCGAGCAAACTGATCTCTGAGCTGATCTCTGATGCTCCTGGGAATAAATCGGGCCAAGAAGGCCTCTGAAAACTCAGTCCATGTGACCGGTGGAGACCCAGCTGGCCTGGTCTCTAAGTATGTACGCCACCACTGCCTGGCGGGACCGTCTAACTGGTAAGCGGTGAAGTCTGCTCCTCTCGACTCCACTAAACCCAAAGTCTGTAGCCGCTCGCGGCAAGTAACTAGAAACTCGTGGGCATCCTCCCCCACTGCCCCAGAAAACCTCAGCGGTGATAGTCGAAGGAACACCCCGAGCATCTTCTGCTCCCGTAGTGGCATGACGCCCTCCAAATCGTCAGGCTGAACAACCGGTGCCGCTAGCTGCTGAACAACCGGTACCGCTGGTGTAGGCTGACCCTGCGGTACTGGAACGGCTGGAGCTGGGGCCTGCTGCATACCCCCAATGGCAGCTAGTATCTGTACGAGCATCGCCTGTATATCTGGAGCTGCCACAGGCTCAGGCGGTGGCTGGGCTAGTCCCGGGCCCATCGGTGCTGCTGTGCTGGAACTGCTGGTGGCTCTATCACCGGCTCCGGAGTTTGCTCTCGGTCCTGGGCTGGTGCTGTAGCTCTGGCACGACCTCGAGGTCGGCCTCTACCCCTAGCTGGGGCCCTACCACGCGTGCGAGCCATCCCTATAAAGAGTGGTACAAGTAAGATTTCAGAAACCGATAAGACACACAATGCACGACAGTGATACAAAAGCGACACGTTCCTAAAGACATCCTGTAGCCTCCCGAAGATAAGTAACGGACGTCTCCGTACCGATCTGCAGGACTCTACTAGACGTTAGCTCTGTACAAGTGAGACCGACGAACCTGGGGCTCTGATACCAATTTGTCACGACCCGATTTATCAAGTCATGATGGCACCTACTATAACCCACCAGCAGGTAAGCCAACCCGTAACCCGGAACAACAAGTAATGGGTCTGAGGGTAGAAATTAAACAAGAGTAGGCAAATAACAATATAAACAGGCGGAAGCAAACCAAAAACATATATACAAATAAAGATCCCTCCCAGAACCTGGAAGTCACTAGTACAGAGCTACTACAAAATGAGTACAAGTCCCAAAACTGGACAACAGAGACTGGACTGTCTCGAAAGGAAGAAGACAAGTCTATATATACAGATGGAGACTGAAATAGTACAAAACGCCGTGTGCTCACCCCCGTCTCCGGATAAGTCTACTCCAAGCTCGATCAACGCTGGCTACTAGTGCTCGGACCTGCATCACAAAATAGATGCAGAGCGTAGCATGAGTACCAAAACAACAGGTACCCAGTAGGCATCATCGGCCGACTGAGCAAGATAAGCAAAAGTAAACTGAAATGCAAATAAAGGGTCACATCAAGTGCAAAGAGTAGTAAATGGGGGTATGTACACGAGCGTACAGGCAACAAAGACAAGCAATCTAACTAACTCCGCCGGGCTCCCATAAACCCGACGGGTACGCTCGTGCACAATAAAAGAAACCACCTGCACGGACCCCCATAAGCCCGGCAGATGCACGGCAGTTGAAGTAAAATAATGGAGCTAGAAGGTCTATCACAATATTACCAATTTCCGGACTTTTAACCGAACCATTCCCAATATATTCCAGATCTCATTACGTCCCGGACTTAATCGAATCTCTCCAACCTCCAAAACCTCAACCTACAGATGAGAGTAATCAAGACTAAACTGAAGCTTAGTGAGGAATTGGGAATACACCAGTGCAAGCTGGACCACGGACTCGAACCGGGTACTGTAGCCAAAACCAGATCACAGGTAAGCTGGACCACGACTCTAACCGGGTACTAGCTAACCGACATAAGTAAGCTGGACCACGGACTCTAACCGGGTACTGTAGCTAATAGAAAAGCAGGGCATTATGGATACAAGGTCATAAGCTGAGTTACCGACTATCAGACTCAAGTCTGCTATATCAGTCTACAAGGAGCTGACCGTCCGAAACGACGTCGGAAAAAGTTCTACTGCCAACGACATCCGAAATCTCGCAAGTCTATGGCAACACTAGTCTAAGCCTAGACTAAGGCCAAACATACTTCAAATCAATATTATCATATACACCACAAGATATGGATATTCAATAATATCAAGAGACATGCTGTCATAATCCAACACTTTCCCGAAATAAGGTCTAAGGCAGGAATTATAGAAATTTAGCATGCTCGACACCCGAACCCCTCCATACTCAAGCAAATCAATAAACAATTGCCTAAACATGCTCAATCTCACGAGAGAAAACCATAGCCTACCTGAAAGCCGATCACGCGTGCTCCAACTCACGGTACCGGATCTTTTCCTCTCCGAACGGTCTCCAAATGCTTCCCCACTAACAAAAGGTTAATCACCTCGTCATTACGAATATATTGACACTAAAATTATATTTTTCGGAGACGGACCCAAAATCGGGTCTAAAACGGGATTGTGGGGCCCACAATTAGAATCTCAAAATCGAATCCGTGGAAACGTCCCAAATACCTTACTAAACTAATACCCCAAAATTTTAGCACAAACAGATGCTTAAAACACCGCAAATCAGCCACAACAATTAAAATGGCAGCCCCTTGATCACCAATTTCTGGAAAAACGAGACCCTTTCAACCCAAACAGATTATACCACGACGATCCTTGCGAAAAACTCTACAAGTTAGCCTCAAGAATGACTCAAAACGGACTAAGATGATCAAGATCTCACATTTCAAAATTCAACAACAATTCAATCCGAAATCACCCTAGCAGTGGCTAAAATCGATTCCTTACCTCAAACGAAGCCTCCCCTCGCGTTTCTGAGATCACCGCTAGATTCCCCTCGAAATTCTCTTGAAGTTTGCCTTTTGAATCACTTAATTTGGACTCAAAATGAAGGAGCAATCTTAAGTTGAAGTTGAGGAAAAAAATGGACGAAATTCGTCCTAAATTCTGGAAATTTCCAGATTTCACTCCTCTGCCACGTGTCGTCACGTGGCTCTGCCACGTCACCGCCGCGTCAAAATTCTACAACCCTTCAAACTTAAGTTTCGATGTTTCGGACTCGTTCGGAGTCGGAAAAATACAAACCTTATATGGAATCTGATTGGAAATGATATTTCGGACTCAACGGTGAAGGCGGAATTTCCATTTGGAGCTCGCTTCGATGAAAAGTGGGTCCCACACCAGTATCATTTTGAACCAGATTCCACAATTGCCATCTAAAGCCTCGGGAAGTGAACAAAGGGTCGTTCTAGACCAAAATCGATCTTCCGAAGCTAACCTAGCTGTCAGAATTTTCATCTGAGCACGTCTTCCAAAAAGGTTGACCAAAGTCAACTTTTCAAGTTATAAAAATCTCCAAAACAGGAAACGGGCCTAAAACCCAAACGAACGACCAGGCGACCGAACAGTCAGTGCCAGCAAGTCATAAATGACTTGGGGTCGCTACAGGAATGCTCTAACGATGAAAGAATTCTTTAATTTAAAAAATGACCTGGAGGGTCATTACAATATCCACTACTAAAAGAACTTTCGTCCGCGAAAGTAAGAGTCAAGAAGTACCTGAATGCTCAAATAAGTCGGGGAACTGTGCCCGCATCTCATGCTCGATCTCCCAGGTAGCCTCCTCAACTGGACGATGTCTCCAACGGACCTTAACAACAGGAATGGCTCTCGAGCGCAATCTCCTCACATCTCTGGCTAGAATGGCAACTGGCTCCTCTACAAATGTCAAACGATCATCCAACTCGACTGCATCATACTGGAGCACATGAGACTCATCAGGAACATACCGCCGCAACATCGAGACATGAAAAACCGGGTGGATGGCTGAAAATGCTGGAGGTAGGGCCAACTCATAAGCAACCTCCCCAACTGTCCGGAGTATCTCAAATGGCCCAATGTACCTGGGGCTAAGCTTGCCCCGCCTCCCAAACCTCATCACGCCCTTCATGGGCGACACACGGAGGAATACCCGATCACCAACAGAGAATCTCAAAGGCCGGCGCCTCCGATCCGCATAACTCTGGTGCCTACTCTGAGCCGTCCTGAGCCTATCCTGAATCACCCTCACCTGATCCAGGGCCTCCTGAAGCAAATCTGTACCACGCGGCCTAGGCTCTGTAGACTCAAACCAACCAACTGGAGAGCGACAACGCCTACCATATAATGCCTCGAATGGGGCCATCTGAATACTAGAGTGGTAGCTGTTGTTATACGCAAACTCTGCCAAAGGCAAGAACTGGTCCCACTGACCTCCAAAATCCATAACACAAGCCCGCAACATGTCCTCAAGAACCTGAATCGTGCGCTCCGACTGACCATCAGTCTGCGGGTGGAAAGCTGTGCTAAGGTCAACACGGGTACCCAACTCATCCTGGAAGGTCCTCCAGAAGCTAGATGTGAACTGTGGGCCCCGATCTGAGATGATGGAAACAGGCACACCATGAAGACGAACCACCTCTCGAATGTAGATACGGGCTAACCTCTCAGCACTGTAGGAAGTATGGACAGGAATGAAGTGTGCTGACTTAGTCAACCGATCCACGATGACCCAAATGCTGTCAACACCTCTAGAAGTCCGAGGTAACCCACAACGAAGTCCATAGTGATACGCTCCCACTTCCACTCCGGAATGGGTAATCTCTGGAACTCGCCACCAGGCCTCAAATGCTCGGCCTTTACCTGCTGGCAGCACAAGCAACGGGAAACAAAGTCAGCAATATCTCTCCTCATGCCACTCCACCAGTAATGCTGCCTCAGATCACGATACATCTTCGCTGTGCCCGGATGGATAGAGTATCTAGACTCATGGCCCTCAGAAAGTATCAACTGTATCAAATCCCCAACTCTCGGAACACAGATGCGGCCGGCGAATCTCAACACTCCATCAGGATCTAAGGTAGCCTGACCACCATCACCCGCTAACACTCGATCTCTAAGGGCCACCAAGGCCTCATCCTCAAACTGACAACCACGGATCCTGTCAAGCAAGGAAGACTGAACTCCCATATGGGCCAAGACACGTCTAGAATCTGAGATATCCAACCGAATCATGCTATTGGCTAAGAACTGAATGTCCATAGCCAAGGGTCGCTCCTCAACAGATAAGAAGGATAGACTACCCATACTCACTGCCTTTCGGCTCAAGGCGTCCGCTACCACATTCGCCTTGCCCGGATGATAGAGAATAGATAGGTCATAGTCCTTCAGGAGCTCAATCCAACGACGCTGCCTCGAATTTAGGTCCCTCTGGCTCATGATGTACTGAAGACTCCTGTGATCGGTATAGATCTCACATCGAACTCCATACAAGTAGTGCCTCCAAATCTTAAGTGCGAAAACTACCGCCGCCAACTCTAAGTCATGGGTGGGGTAGTTGCGCTCATGAATCTTAAGCTGCCTCGACGCATAAGCAATAACCCGGCCCTGCTGCATCAATACACAACCCAAACCAACGCCGGATGCGTCACAATATACCGTGAAGCCCTCGCCCTCAACTGGAAGAGTCAATATAGGAGCGGTGGTCAATAACTCCTTGAGCCTCAAAAAGCTCGCCTCACACTCCTCTGACCAAACAAAGGGAACATCCTGGCGAGTCAACCGAGTCAAAGGCGCTGCTATAGTAGAAAATCCCTCAACAAAACGCCTATAGTAGCCTGCCAATCCGACGAAGCTACGAATCTCAGTCACAGAGGTGGGCCTGTGCCAATCACGAATAGCCTCAATCTTCGCCGGATCAACCCTAATACCCTCCTTGGACACCACGTGCCCCAAGAAGGCTACAGACTCAAGCCAAAACTCGCACTTTGAGAACTTGGCATAAAGCCGCTGATCTCTCAAAGTCTGGAGCACTATCCTCAAATGTTGCTCATGCTCACTCCGGCTCCGCGAGTATACCAGTATGTCATCAATGAAGACAATGACAAATAAATCAAGGTATGGCCTGAACACACGTGTCATCAAGTCCATGAAGGCGGCAGGGGCATTAGTCAACCCAAACGACATCACCAAGAACTCATAATGGCCATAACGAGTCCTAAATGCCGGTCTTAGGGAAGT